AATTAAATCGCATTGATGTCCTGGGAAACGTTTCAGGACACACGTATATGAAATTTGGCCTTTGAATTTGGCCAATTAATATATCTAGGGAAACATCTGACGACACAGTTATATTGAATTTAAATTTGAATTTGGCGAATTGCTATATTTTGGAAAACTTCTGGGAAGACATGTTTATAAAATTCTGAATTTGAATTTGGGCAATTGCTATATTTTGTCAAACGTCTTATCAGTTAGGTATATGAAATGTTGTATTTGAATTTGGTCTATTGCTATATTTTGGGAAAGGTCTGAGGACACGCTGTTATATGAAATGACAAATTTGAAGTTGTCCGATTACTCTAATTTGTCAAGCGTTTGAGAAAACAGTTTTATGAAATTCTTAATTTCAATTTGGCCAATTGCTATATTTTGCGAGGCGCTCACATATATATAATATTTTGTATTTGAATTTGGTCAAGTGCTATATTTTGGGTAATGTCCAATAACACAGGTATATGTAATCTTGAATTTGAATTTTGCCAATTACTTTATTTTTTAAACGTTTGAAGAAATTGGTATATGAAATTTTGATTTTGAATTTGGCAAATTGCTATATTTTGGGGAACGTCTGAGGAAAAAGGTTTATTGAATTTTGAATTTAAATTTGACCAATTGCTATATTATTTTCAATGATGTATTGCTGGTAATATTATTTTCAATGATGTATTGCTGGTAATATTATTTTCAATGATGTATTGCTGGTAATATTATTTTCAACGATGTATTGCTGGTAATATTATTTTCAAAAACGTATTGCAGGTAGTATATTTTTAAAAAAAATGTATTGCTGGTAATATTTTTTATCTCCAAAAATTTATTGCCGGTAATAATTTTTTTACAAAGTATTTCTGGTAATAAAACCTATTTTTACATTTTCATAGTGGTTTTGCCCCAGTTTTTTTTTTGGGGGGGTAACTATTTGCCCAAAGCTGAGACCCTAACAGGTGCTACCACCCCGGGTCAGGGTGGACCTGGAAACACCAGCAATTAAGAGGTGGTTCCACGCTCATCAAAACCTCCTGACCAGAGGCCTTGCTGTTGGATATAGTTTATTGTCTTACCCAGGACGCGGATGTAGTTTATCGTCATACCCAGGACGGCCGACAATATTTGTATTGCTGGTAATAATTTTTTTTCAAAACTTTAATTTTACTATAAAAATCTATTTTTATACTTTCATAGCGTTTTTGTCCTCATTTGGGGGGGGGTAACTATTTGCCTATAGCAGGGACCCTGACAGGTGCTACCACCCCGGGTCAGGGTGAACCTGGAAACACCAGCAATTAAGAGGGGGTTTTACGCTCCTCAAAACCTCCTGATCAGAGACCTTGCTGTCGGTTGTAGTTTATTATCAAACTCAGGATATCTTAATGAATGAATTTGATGGTCGTGTTTCTTACCGCTCTTCAGCGATCTGGTCGGCGTATTCTAGAGCCCCCAGCTTACAGGGGCACACCTCAAAGATGAAGAAAAGTCTAGAAGCATCAGAAATTTGATTCTTCAAAAGAATTCAGACAATACTGTGGATGTAGGGCGTAAGCATTGAAGATGTCTTAAGGAAAATGGAAACGAAAAAAAGACGCGTTTTTAATAAAAATCATTTACCAAAGCACCCCCCCCCAACAAAGCAATAAAAGCCACCAGGATGCGAAGGGTTACTGAGAGTGAGTGGGGACAATAAAAGAAACAGGTTTTCTGGGATCGGAAGATTGACATTGCATTTAAATTCTTGAATATCGTTGTTAACAAAAATCAGAAAGAGACAGCTGAAATTTCTTGGATACCTGAAGAAAAAGGAATTGGCATTCAATGGAAATATGGAAGGGAAAAGAGAGAGGAGAAAGTTACAGACAACACCTACCTGGTTAGCCTTTTGTAAATAGGTGGCAGAACTTGAGATAGAAGTGATAGCAAAAAGATAGCAAGGGGAGAAATTGTGGAGGGCCATGATTTCCCGCGTTTTGAAGAGACACAGTGCATAGAAGACAAATAATATTACCCCACCAAGTATTTGCTAATAAGTAAGTCAACTAACTTAGGAGAAGGAAACTCTGGATTCCAAACCTTTGTTAAGGAGACAGGAATGGATTGCTCTATCTTTCTCAAATATTTATAGTAATTCTTAGATAATATAACAAAAGGAAAACGTGGAGAGCCGCTACACATTATGCTTCGAATGGAGTTGATATTTAAAAACCAAAACAAAAAAAAAGAAACAGTTTCTTCACTCGCACTTGGCAAGCCTCTCACTACTTTATAGCTACATCCGTGGAAAGTGCTCAAGCGAACTACATTTATTGAGTTCATCAGTCCTAAAACTTCACGGCTAGGACCCGCCATACCACAACCATATTAGTGAACCATCCACGTTACCCCCGTATTCCAGTGGTGAGAAGTAAGTTCTATTCGAGTAACTTCTTACCGAGAACCACTGTTCTGTGGAACGGACTCCCAAGAGGATGCTTCCCGATCCTTACACTCTTAACCAAGTCTAGGGTTAACGGTTATCTTCCCCTCGTATACGCATAAACTGTGCCTCTTACTCTGTAAACCTCTACCTCGAGTGGCCCTTGGGCCTTGTACAGAGTGAACCTCATTTAAAAAACAAAGCAAAGCAAAACAAAAATTTTCTTCAGGATTCTTGCTTCCCTGTCAACTTTGATCTTCAAAAATTTAAATGCAATGTCAATCGTTATCTTCTGTCGTTTTAAAATTTGTTCTTTTATTGTCCTCTCTCCTTAAATTTTCAAATTCTCTCATACTTCCTGCGTCTCTTATACTCCTCTTATCTTAGTGGCTCTATTGCCTTGCTTGAGAATTTTTCCCGATTTTTTTTATGAGCGAACCAGTCTGCCATTTTCGGAAGTATGATATGATTCAAACTATAAGAGAAACTTGATAATCACAAAGAAAGAAAGTCGTGCTTACACTTGGAAATGATATACAACGTATAAAAATGTCAAACATTAGCAAACAATCCGACAAAATAATAATTTACTTAAATGTAGATGAGAAAAGCAGGCTACTGATTTATAAATATTTCAAGTTACTACGAGGTCAGATGGAAATCTCGTGGCGGTCCCGTATATGAACTCGTGAGCCGTGACTTGGGAACCACGACACGAACGCCTCGTCGATGAAAGACAAGCTTCCGAGGTCAAGACTCAACGGAAGCTATTTATACTAAACTTTAATAACATAGAGTTAAACAAAATGAAAACGGATTTAAGAGTAACAGAAAAGGCAATTTATCAAAACCCTATTATAGTTCCGTTTTAGGGCAATTCGACGTCGCTTTATACTTTCGGCCTTGTGTCATATCTAAACTACGTTTAGAAAATCAACATTAAGTCACCTCGACGTGGTGTAATGGTTAGCAAGCTTGTCTCGCTAGATCAATTGCGTTTGAATAGTGAGTTCGATCCTCACTGCGTGCCCCATACTTTCTGTCTTGTGCTTAGAAAATCACCAGGGTACCTCGATGTGGTGTATTGAATAGCAGGCTTATCCCAATTACGAGTGAATAGTGAGTTCGATTCTCACTAGGCGATCCATACTTTCGGCCTTGTACCATATCTAAGCTACGCTTAGTAAATCACCATATTGTAATTATACTTGTTCTTTCGTTGATTAGAGCGTACCTTACGCCTTGTCTGTACGTCACAACTAATGAACTATTCCGCTTTAGTCGCTAGGAATTGATTGATGTTTATTTACTGTTTATCAACCCTTTTCAGGTTATTTAAAGTCAGAAAATGTTTTTAGATGGTTTTGGAGATAATGCTGATTTATTGACTCGAGTCCTGCTATTTAATCCATAGCTGGGGGAGAACAGATGGATTCGTTTCTTTTCTAAGGTTATTTGCTCGTAGGTGAATCTGACTGGAATTGAAACTCGGCTCTCTGATTTCCAATTCCGAGTCGTTGTTCATTGCACCAGACATTACTTACATCACGTGGTATTCCCAACCTGTCACCCGTATAAGTACTGACCAGGTTCGACGTTGTATTGAATATTGCTGCCACATCTGGTTCGATGTTTCTGCTATATATTTAGAGATTCATGATAAAATCCAAAGGAGAATCTGCAATGTTATTGATAATGACCTGGCATGTCGGCTTAAGTCACTTTCCCCACCGCCGCAACGTAGCTTCTCTCTGCCTTTTCTATAAATATTTTCATGGAAATTAATCTGATGAGTTTTCCTCTATGGTACCTAGACTTTATGAATTTAACCCTTTGAATCCTGACTACCGCTTTACTGGTGGTAGAGAAAAATGACTTTATGCCCAGCCACCGGTTGAACGATGGTAGAGAACAAGTATTTAATGCCCAGCTACCGGTTGAACGGTGGGTAAACACGTGTCACTATTTTTATATCTACCGTGAAACATTACATATCAATCATTTGCGAATTTTGATTCAGGAGCTTAGGCAGAAAAATTGTTCAGGGACGAGGGGGTCAAAGGTTTAAGTGCAGTACTAAATTGGCAGCTAGGTCTGATCATTTTACAGATGAAATGGTTGGATGCAACCGTAAGTTCTATGCTAAGAGTTTTTTTCTATTGTACTTCTTGCTTACGGAACTCTCTTACGGCTTCCAGTTAACTTTCATCTTCAAAAATTTGAATGCAATGTCAATCATTATGTTCTGTTTTCTTAATTCCTCTTCTTATAGTGTTCCCCCCCTATATTCTCTAACACTTAGTAACCCCTTACATCTATCCTAGTGGCTTTATTTTCTGGTTAATATTATGACTTTGTAGCATCTTGTGGCATTGTATGAAACTAACCCTAACATAATCTTTCCATAAGTTCTATGCTAACAGTTTCTTCTATTGCACTTCTTACCAATGGAAATCTCTCTTGGCTTTGGTTACAACTCTATAGGATTCATTTTACTTTTAGCCATTGATCTAAGAAAATGGTTGTATGTAGAAGATAATGTAGACTTTTC